CCGAAAACCTTAAGACAGATCTTAAAAAAATTGTAACTTCGTTCAAAAAGCTCATACAAATTTTCTTTCTTGCTCACGCGTAGACGTTCCACGTAAGACATTTATCTATACGGTTGCTGTATTTTTTTCTCAACTAGCCGATGAGAAAACGAAGTTTTTCATGTTTTTTCCAAAACAATGCTGAGATGTCCTAGCACTGACAGTTGCATACTATAGGACCTTAGAAGCGTGAATGTGAATTTTCAGCTCTTTAGAGCAGCTGGTTTACGAGAAATATCGGATTTTTAGCAACTAGGCAAGAAAAATTTGGATAAGGAGAGCTAGATTCGTTATTTCTCGCGAACTAGCAGTTCTAGAAGGCTGAAAATGTAAAGTTTCACTGCTAACGGCATGTACTATACAACTGTTGATACTAGAACATCTCAGCACTAATTTGGCAAAAACATGAAAAATTTCAAAAAACTTCGTTTTTTCATCGCCTAGTTGAGAAAAAAATACAGCAACCGCATAGATAAATGTCTTACGTGGAACGTCTACGCGTGAGCAGGAAAGAAAATTTGTATGAGCTTTTTGAACGAAGTTACAATTTTTTTAAGATCTGTCTTAAGGTTTTCGGACGCATGGTTTTTTTCAGTTTTTGGCTCAAAACTTCGCGTGGATCAAAGCTGGTGTAGATATTTGAGCACTATCTTGTAGAGCTAGGTTTGCGCTATCAAATGATATATCGAATCCTACCTGGAATATAGGATTACTCCGAGTTATTGCGGTCTGTACCTATTTTGGTGCAGGAATTATGCATCAACCTAATAAAAATCAATTCCACTTTTCTGCTATGAAGGTACGCTTTATTCATCTCCTAGGTATCTATTCAACAAGCAATTTAAAAGGGACGACATTTCTCTGCAGTCTCTTGGTATAATCTATGTAAGCAATCTCAAGCGAATGGCAGATTACTTTGCGTATATTCAAATTCCAACTATTTAGAGAATAAAGATGGGAGTACTGAGTTAATAATTTCAGGCTTCCACCTTTTTGGTGAGCACAACAGACGACGGCCGCTTGAATCTATTGAACAGAATGCTCTGAAATAATTTCTGGAACCCAAGACTAATCAAAGACTAATCACACTGCATTTTCACTTTCGTACCCTGTTAGTTTCGACAATGAAAATCATCCGTGTCAGACGACTGCGTGCACATCAGCTCAAAATAGTGAAGAAAGTTGAGTGTAGATTCATGAGTTCTTAATGTGGACATCGATTGCAGAGCGCGCACGTAGGTCTCAGGAAGAAATACGTAAGGTTGTCGAAACAGGCTGTGGGATTTCGCAACAGATCAGTGGGGACTTGATCCAGACATCGACGTCGATAGCCTTTAGGACTTCTTTACTAAATTCATTCGCTCCTCCTCCTCTCTGCTCATGAACCATGAAGTTGATTCAAGTTTCGTACCATCTAATGGGAATTTTTAGAAGCTTAGGCAAATAAGATTCGATATCGTATTTCTCGTACATTTTCTTTACATCAACATCTCAAGTGAGATATTGTCCAAGAATTTGCCTTCCACTTGGATCCGTAAAAGTGAATCATTTGCAGACGTCTGTAACAAATGGGTTATCGCGCGTAGGTCTCTTTTCGATGAAGAGACAGTTACTAAGAGGCTGATGAAATTACCCGATATATTAGATTATTGTCTGCACGGTTATCAGAATACGCATACAATTTGGAAGCTCATTTTGAAGTCTCACGCTCCTCTTTATTAGGATAGTCTGAATAACAACTTGTCTGCTATTGAATTTTTCTTATTGTATGTAGCCAGGGCCCGGCAGGAGGTTGTCAAATGACAAGCTGGAAATCGTTTTCGGTAAAAAAACAAAGGGGATATCGTTTTTGCGGGGTCCCCGGAAAAATTGGAAGTTTATGCCCTCTGCTTATTTTAACATGTTATGTGCCTTGACAGGCAAACACTGGAGTTCGCGCGCGCGTCAAACCGCGCCGTCGCTAATTGCCGCACGCGCGACGTCGCTCAAACGATGCTATTTGTAACAGCATACATGACTAGTTCTCAATGTATGCGCAACGATATGACATCAAATATTGTAAGCGAACGGAGAGAGGCTAGTGGAAACAAAGTATAAAAAATTATGAAAAACTAATGTAAATGAAACGAGTAATAAGCATTTTTTCCGAAAATTTTGCAAAATTGGTAAATGAAGATGTGAATTCAAATGGCTCGTTTGCAACGCGCAGATGGCGACATGGTATAACTTGGTACGTACGTGGACACAAGCCTGTAGGATTTAAATTAGGAGTTTCATTGAAAAATTATGTGACTGAAGGTTGTGGCAAACGTTTTTCTGAAAATTTCCCGCTACCAAAGAAACGAAAAAATGGCTCGTTTGCAACGCAGAGGTGACGAAATCGCGCGATTTGATGTGTAGATGCGCAGTAGGGCCAACTAACAAAGCGTGAAAAATTTTAAAAAACTTATGTGAATGAGGAGCATGCTTAAATCATTTCCAAATTAGCTTGTCATTTGACAAGCTAATGACAAGCTGAGCTTGTCAAAACTCTCAATTCACATAATTTTCTCGAAATTTTTATATAAATCTACTCTACACCTAAACATTAGTAATTAGGAGATATTGAAATTTGGTTTCAAACCTCCTCCTCTCCCCATTGCTAGAGGCAAAATAGCCTCAGCAGGCCCGTTTCCTAAGGAGGAAAGCGCGCTCCAATCAATCGATGACGGCGTCTGAGTCCTATAAGTGTCGCTCTGATATTTCATCACCTAGATCGCGTCGTTCATTCATCTTTGCATCATTTTCATAACTTCTTCATCAACTTTAACTTCAATATCATCTTAGAAACCATTCTCAGTCGGAATCCGGTGCTGATCTTAGCTATAAGCACCCAGTTGCCTTTTTTTCCTTTGACTACGGATCTTATTACATATAAAACTCATTTCTTTCATCAAATTCAAATACTCTAAAACTTTGTAATGGTTGTGAAATTTTGTTAACACGTTGACGACGAGCCATTTTTTTGAGGTCTGTCCCTGTGGACGAGACGTTTCCATGCATCCCTACGCATGGCCCAAGTATGTATGAATGCACCCATGCATGAAGTACAAAATGTGCAAGCCTCGCCCCCTCTGGCAAGCTCCGCCCACTCGACCAAAAATGTCGGAAATTGCCCAAAATTCAAGTATTTATGCGATTTCCGTCACTTTTGAAAAGTGGGCGGAGCTTGCCACTTAGGGGGCGGAGTCTGCCTGACGGTGGGCGGGACCTAGCTAAAAGTTGCTTGAGGTATTTGCGTTCATCTACAGCCTCATCCATGCTTTTTATGGACAAAAAGGGTCCTTGTGAGAGGCACAGGAGTGGGCGGGGTTTGCCAAAAGGGGGCGGGGCTAATACATGAAGTACATTTGAGCCTCTGTTGATTATATGAACAAAAACTGAGAGGATTAGACAGATAGTATTGAATTTAAGGCCGCCGCGCACCATTGCGCGGCGTCGTCCATAGGGACAGACTGCCTGCCGCGCACCATTGCACGGCACTGTCGTCAACGTGTTAAATGATGATGAGTATTAGAGACCGGCCAGACTATTCGAGGAGGTGATTCCTGCGATTCCTGTAACTCCTGCAATTCTTGTGATTCCTCTAATTCCGATGTACCGCACTACGGAGCGCTTTGCAAATTTTGACATACATTGTTCTTTCGCAATATACATTGTTATGGGACCCGCAGCGATCACAGGAATGCTGTGAATTCATGTGCTGATAAGAATTATTGAGCTGCTCTTTTTCCACGCCCTCATGAAGGTGAATGCGAGACGTACTGTGAGAGTGTATGGATGGTACGAATCCCCCCCCCCCCCTTTCCCCTTTCCCCGCGCTTCCCCCCTCCCCCTAGGTGCCGGTGAGATTGTCATTGTTATCACTCGAGATCTTTGATCCTGATTTCTTTTTTTCCTTTGTTATTGCATTGTTATTGGTTTCTTCTTCAATAAATGTTCTTCCTTTCGTAAAGTGTTCATTGCGCAATCACTGGGACTAATTTTTGGGTCAAAGGGGAATTCGTAAAAAAATTTTTGTGTCAAAGGGAAATTCGTTTTCGAAAACCCCTTTTGACAAGCTCGCCGGGCCCTGTATGCTGCTGTACGGGAGAGGAGGTCGAGAACATTGTCCCAAGTGCCCGCAAGAGCTTCTTGGAGAAGAACTTTCACGTACACATGAGGAGTATACATGGGCTCTCGTCAAGGGACCGCGTAGCCTTACGCACAAAGTGTATCATCAAATACCCCTGCTGCTCCGCTTTGCTCGACGACCATCACCAACTCGCGAACCATTGCCTAGTGAATCACTAAGAAGACTTTGTGAATGGCCGCCCACAGGACTATACAGTCCTCAATCAAAACTGAGACCAAGGCGCTTTTTGAGGTACATTTCAAAAGCATTTACTGAAGAAAAAACGCTTTTCTGAGGCATGGCACGACGACATGTGTTCCAAATTCCAAACATCGTTTTTTGCCGCTCAGGAACCAAAGCATGGATGAATATGAGGTTTTGCCTTTACTTGTAATTGCGTGACAGCTGAAGTCATAAACTCTCGTTAGATGTAACAAATTAGGTAAGTTTAAGGCGCGCAAGAAAGGATCACAATGTCAAGAGAAAACACTGCACATCTCCTTTATAAACGTGATCCCAAACGTAAGCGAAACTGTCCAAGTGACAGCATGCTTTGGGCGTACTGAATATGCAACAAGTCCTGCGCTCCACAAACTATCCCAGCAGAAGGATATTATTATCTGAAGAGCTTCTTGGGAGGTCTATCTTGCTGTCATGAAGCAAATTCATCTAGTGTTCCGCCTTTATGGCACATTCATTTACTTCAGAATTTACTTTTGATTACAGTTTGAAAAAGATGCGGCAACAAAACTGAGAAGTTGAAACTCTATCACATAAATAAGTCAAATCTGAGGTTTGGAGGTGAATAATGCGCTCACTTTACTTCCCAAAACACCTCTTACAGGAATCTTGTGGTAAGTACAAACTTCGTCCTGATTGTCCCAACGACGACGACATGACGTCTTTGCACATGAGATCAGAAGAGCAAAATCCTGAAGATGGCATCAAAGGACTAAATCTAGCGCAAGATGAAAGAAGCAGAGGGTTTCTAGAAGGTTTTTTGGCAAATTTAACTCGCGTTTCCAATAATACTTCTTCTTTCAGTCGTCTTTACTCCAACACAATGGATTAGAGAAGTTGCCAACAAAGGCATTGTTCTAGATGATGCTGTTAATGTATTCCGATACTACCTGCGCTTAGCGGCCCTTATGGTAGCCGGCAAAAAAAGACCTGAGTTTGCCGGGAGGTGAGAATTACGGTATTGAGCTTTTTTATCGATTTCACATCTTAAAAACATGGCTTAGAAAGGCTAAGGAGTCAGTGCAGGAGCATGAGCCTTATTACTGCAAATTTTCAAACTTGCTCTCAAAATCGATGTTCGCGATCCTTTTGCCAAAACCCTCTCGGAACTCCTACGGATAGCGGTTGAGGCTCAGTTCCAAAATCGCTTGACAGAATTACTGAGTTTTCTTGATCAGAAAGGGCAATCATCATTTGTCGAATACCTACAGTGCAACACTTTGGTTGGTCCTTCTTTTGACATCACAGCTCGCCGGTCATAGATGTACATCTATATCTGCTGCACGTTCGTGTTCTCCGAGAGGTTCCTTCACAGCGGGCGAGATTTTATTTTTACTGCAACTGCAGCTGCGCACGCCGCTTCCTGCGGCGTAGTATGAAGGAACCCAAAGACGTGCGCTCATACCACACCGATTATGTTCATCCAATGGTAACTCTGTGTTAATGTTCAGACGATAATTCCTTACTATTTATCTCTGAGACCTAAAATGAGCTAATTTTGTGTTTAATGTTTGCCAGATTTTATCTTTTTCCCGGGCACTCTGAGGGTATAATACAAATAAACAGTGAACAAATATGTTACTCGCGTGCCAGTGGGTCGTCTTTGAAAGCTACAGAAGCGCAGCACTCATTAAGTCTGACGCTGTTTTCTTTTCATATGTCCCTCACATAAACAATTAGTTGATTTTGGGGGCTTTTCGAACGTTGATTTTCTGGTATCCTTTGCGCAATCGTATCCAAATAGTAAACAACGTACACGCGCCTCCATTCAAACTAAACAATTTATTTTCTGATTAGGGCAAAATTTCTTCACAGAATTTTTGTAACCCAGAGGTTGCTCTATCATGCTGCGCACTTCCGTAAAAAGAAGCTTCGGCGAAAGCGTGGTACGAACTTCATTACGACTACATGTGTGCCATGATAGGGAATTTGAGAGCTAATTTGTATTTGTGACCGTTTGAATCAGGTGTGCGCCGAATTGTTGTCTCTAGGTACTTTTCTTCCGATTTTATCGAAGAATTACTAGGCTACCAGATTTTTGACGTACTTTCTACATACATAGCCTGACATTAATCAAGGAGCGGCGTCTAGCAGAGGAAATAGTATTGCGAAATCTGCGTCTTTACTGTCCACCCTAAGTTGAGGGTGTTGGGCTTTTGGCAGCATGTAATAGTAGGGTCCTCTACCAATTTAAGGTCCAAGACGCGGCGCAAAATGCCGCTTCGGAAGCGAGGAAATCGCTTCGGAATAGCGAAGATGCACGAGGACCCCCATCCATGCCCGCCCATTTGTGCGCGCCCATCCAATCACCGTTCCGGAAAGCCGGCTGTGGATCCTCCGAAACGGGGATTGTTGGGGTTTTCGCGCATTCTCGACTTCATATTTGGAATCAGGGACATGGGAAGGCCCTGAAACGACAAAAACCTGAAAGTCGAGAATCTGGGTGGACGGTGCCTTCAATGAAGCGCAATGCCAACTATCTAAGGTTGAAAAAATTTTAAGACGCTGTCAAATTACAGCAAGAAATCCTGCTGCAAATGCCTAAAAATTATACGAGTCTTCGAGAATAGTCAGTATCGTTTGTATCACTAATTTTATTATTTTCTTAATTTCTGGGAGGGCAGTTATGCCTAATGAAAAGGCGTATTTCAGTTGTTTCTGCAAGTTTTTATGACTTTTCTTTCTGAAGCAGTGCGCTTAGAGAGTGCACCTTTGCGAAGTCTCAAAAACGTTTTTTGAGATAAAATGGAGCGCTCAGAACATGGAGATTTGCATCTTATCAAATATTCAAAGACCAAGAACTCGGAAATGATTATCAAAACACAAACACCAAAATTACCTAAGGTCAATTGTCAATCCTCATATGTATATATGCGAATTTTTTGAATGGAAATTTCACGGGCGTAGTGGACGAAAGAATGTCATGTCTTGTTTTTAAGCAATCTGATGAATGCTGGCTTTTGTTGATATATTGACTTTGGCGCCATTCGAAAATATGATTTTCAGAATTCTGAACCAATCTAGCAATAAAATGGTTCCGGCTATTTTTAGGAATCATTCAGCATAAGCCAATAGTGTTACAAAGTCGCAAGAGCAGTAAACGATTTTTTTTGAAAAGAAAGAGAGACTGGGAGAAGACATCACAGTGAAGAGCATAAGGTAGGCACACGGCTAGCGGATGAGGAGTCATGGCATTTCCGTCTTTCTACGTTCAAATCCGCGTGCGGGCCATTGACACCGTGGACCGCGCGAGAGTAAATGCCAGCATAGTATATCTCTATGCTGGAATTTTCATGTGAACGTAGTAGAATAACTATCCTAATAAAATAAAATTTTGCGCTTTTCTCGCTAATCATTTCTGCTCCCGCAATATTCAACACTTTGCCTGAATTTTAGCAGCACGAATACATTTATGTTTGTGATTGATACTCTCAGCACAATGTGATGAAAACACAATTTCAAATTCATTTCGTTTTATTCTTCTGTTTGAAATTTTGCTGTTACTATGCTTCATTCAATTGATAATAGCCCTATCGTCACACGTAGCTCCCCTCTTCTCCGGTTCTGCTAATTGCTTCAGAAGCTGCTGTGATATTTTTGCTTCGAATTCCCTCAACTCGTCGTCTGTGAGATCATACCAGTAATCCACCCAACAGAAGGCCTCCCTGAAACATTTTTTATCATATGAGAAAATAAACTATTTTGTTATTTGTGCTCCACGCATGCTGCACATCCCTTTTGAGCGAGTGAATTGCAAGAAAGGGCTAAGACAAATATGATTGATCTTACTCCATCTAAGGTAACGATACGAAAGTTGAAGACCCTAACTGCTTGGAAAATGGAATCTCTTGGGAGTGTGTTATCAAAGTAGGTTATAGGAATAATTCTATTTTCCAGGGAATACAGCTGAGAATGAAATAAACTTTGGTCCGAGTCCAACGCATCAGGTCACGAAGAACGTTATTGAGGTCGACCTTTGTCAATCATGCTGACTTGTTTTTTATGTTCCTGTCATCAATATGCGATGTCCATCAATCAAGTTTTGCGGACTTTGCTAGCCTTCAAAAGGCTTTGACGTTTCATTCATCAAATGCATCTTCATCGAATATCCTTCGTCGTCTTTTCCTTAGGCAAATGAATCTTTGCATTTTGGAGTCTCTTATACGCTCCGCATTAGCTAAGCGAAGCAGAAGTTATGGGCGGCATGACGTTGTACTACAAATCCTTCGCCGCCATAGTCGCACGCGCGTCCCTTGCTTACGGTATTACGCAACCATTTTGCATCAGTGTGCGTGAGCCATGACGTGATTGCGCGAACGCAACCTTGTACAGCTTCGTCACTTGCGCGTCGCGCAAAGATACTGCGCCTTTTATTAAAAGTTACATGGAAAGTTAAAAAATATTGCACTTTCAGATTTCAACCGTTATCGTCCGCCGCACTCCGACAGGGTGTGAAATTGAAATAAATTTCGTTTCTCTATCAGGTCGATCCAAAAGTTTTGTCATTTTTTTTTGAAATGGCCTTCAAATCCCGTACGGTGGATATAAACAAATACTCCAAGTTGTATTCGATGCAGAATTTCTTTCCCTTTTCAGTTGCTGTATAACCTATGTGGTTCGCGTTATCAAATTTTACATTTCACCTATTCTAATTTCGTAGAACATAGGACTGTAAACAATTTAGATACCATTCGATGCAACTTCTTCTCTTTCTAAACGCTAACCTTACTTGGCAAGACACGCAAAATTTGAGTATTAGTAATAATAAAACCGACTCTGAAATGTCAACAATTTGAAGATTTTGCAATGATTGGTGCAATTATGGTGGTGGTGCAATTGGTGCAAGGTTATGCAATTTTTCCAAGTCAAGGCTTTGAGAAGTTAACATGAAAATAAAAGAGCATCTAAAAAAGTTACTTTATTTGGCAAGTTTGCCCTATAAGCTGGCTATGGAAGCTCCCCTAAAATTCTCACATGAAAATTTTGAAAATTAGCGAAATTTGGGCATGGTGAGAACAAAGGGTTGTAAGTCTCAGCGATTACCTATCTCAACACTCTTTTGACAAACCACATTGATACAGCAACTGAAAAGAGGTTTAAATTCTGCATCGGAAACTTGACTATTTGTTTATCTTCACTGTACGGAATTTACACACCATTTCAACTGACAAAACTTTTGGACTGACTCAAAATTTAATCATCATACTTACTTTATTTTCAGGTAACATAAAAGGCTCTTTGACTCCGAAATTTGTTCACCAAAGAATATTGCCGTGAGATGACTTGCTTCACACCGTACAGAGCTATATAGAGCCTATTTTGAAATTCTATATGAGATTGTATTTTTTTAGATGTCTATTTTGATAGAAAACAATGTTGCTTTTTAATTCCTTGTTATGGCATCGCAACGAGGCAAACCCCAAAAACGAGTATGGGATACCATTCGGTAGAGCAACGCAAGCTTTACAAAATGGCTTCACTGGTTTGCACCAAGTTAAACAACGTGCTGTTCGAAGATGGAATGTAAAAAATTTCAAATGACCGAAAAATAAAAAAATTGTATCTCCGTTCAAAATATTAGGTCGGTGCAAAAGTTTTGTCAATTTTTTCAATCCATCGGCAAACACGTTAGAATGAAGATAAACAAATACTTCAAGAAGCATCTGATGCAGAATTTCTTCCTCTTTCCAACTGCTAAACCCAAGGTGTGTTTCGTTGCGAATTTGACGAGAAATTTGCTGGAAATTACAACCACTCGTTTTTACCATGTCCAACTTTCGCTAATTTCTAAAATTTTTGTATGAGACTTTCGGAGGGGCCTCAATTCTTTTTCCAACTTATGCAATTTTTTCTTTGTTCCAGCTGCTTTCTCAGATTTTTGCTAAATAATTTTCTAGAAGTCTTGTGTTTTGGAAAAATCGCATAACCTGTCATCGCACCAAACACTGCAAAACCTGCAGAATACTGAAGTTTCTTTACTCAATTATTACTACCGCTACCGTTACGAAGTAAATGAGCGATTTTCGCTTCAAATTATGAAGATTTTGAAACATAGGTTACGTCAGTGCGCACTCCTGAAATTGAGAAATACTGCGATTTTCCCCACAATTTTCGCCTGTCTCAGCAAAAAAGACAAGTATTAGAAGGAGGAGAAAAAGTTGCATCGAATAGTGACTGAAGTGTTTAACATTTTATGTTCTACGAGGTCAAAATAGGTTGAATGTAAAACTTGGTCACTTCAAAAAGTAAATCGTAGAAATTCTAAAAGTCAAGCCGGAGGGCTACAAAAATTGCTTCTGTTGGCAAAAGGTTTGCTCTATTTGCTGGTTATTAGGGCTCCTCCGGAAGTCTCATACAAAAATTTTGAAAATTAGCGAAAATTGGACATGGTAAGAACGAGTGGTTGTAATTTCCAGCGAATAACTCGTCACTTTTGCAATGAAACACAGTGCGAGTTCAGTAGCTGTAAAGAGCAAGAAATTCTGCATAGGATACATTTCAAAGTGTTTGTTTGTCTCCAATTTAGCGTGTTTGCCGATGCATTGAAGAAACTGCCAAAACTTTTGCACCGACCTAATATTTCTACGGACCCCAAATTGCACAGGGACATACATCCCTTATCAAACATTTATATACGACTAGCTGCGGTCCCCGGTCCCGCCCAGGCCAAGGGTTCGAAATGGCCCGCCTGCTTCAAGATGTTCGCTTACCATTCCTCCACTTCCTTCAGATCATATTTTCTCTTCCTCTCCTGCTTCAGCTCCAAGTCAGTTCCAGCACACGTGTAGTATCCGTGGTGAATTTGTCCTTCTTGACCGGCTCGCTTCGTAACACCGCGTCCTCCTCACCGCAAAATGTAAATGATCTCTACTACACCTTACCACTTAACTTGGTGAAATGAATGATATAGCTTTCATTTTCCTACATGTAAGTAAACAAATCAATAAATCGATGGAAGGACCCAGTGAAACGTCGCGAAAAGTAGCCTATCTTCTGCGCCTGGCCTCATTTAGAGGGGAGCAAATTTCAGCCTCATTGGTTCACAACAAAGGAGTCTATAAGCCACATACTTACATACGAACAATTTTACAGAGATTGAGTTTTATTTATATTTAGATTTGCAGTAATTTTTCTTTGGTTAGACATCGAAAATCTGAAAATTGCTTCTGCCAAAATGGTGCTGGGCTGTTCTTTTTTAAGTAATTCTATACAATTTAGCATTGGAAATACAATCGTAGATTTTCAGCCTTCAAGGTTAGTTCTCGGGAAGTATCGATTTCAATTTAGAGAACAAAAAAAATAAGCTAATCTCCATATTTCTCGAGAAATAACCAACCAACCAAAAAGTTGGAAATCTGCGCTCGTCTTTCCATGTCAAATAGTATGAAATTATCTAGGAACAGCCCTGCATCACTTTGGCAACGATGTCTAGCCAAAGAAAACGCAACAATTGCGCATATGAATGTTAGATGAGGAATATATGCCCATGGGCAATTTGAGGGTTCGGAAAAATATTTTGGACGAAGATACGAATTTGATTTCTGGGGCATTTGAGCCTTTTTAAAATTCATCTTCAAACTTCACACGGATCAAGATAATTGTAAAGCTTGCTTTGCTCTATTAAATCGTATCCCATACACGTTCATGGGAATTGAACTTTGTGATGCCATGACGAGAAAAAAAATGCGACATTCTTTTTCCCGACCTAATGTACAGGGTGTCCCCAAAAAACGTATTCATTGTTTGATTGTTTATCTCTCTTGTAATGAAATGTTTCGAGAAGCTTTGGGTACCTGTGTAATACTGTTTCAGCATGAACATTTGCTATGCCAAGATTTAAAAACAGCCGATCTTGGAATGCTTTGGGTACCATTTTGTAGAGCGATGTCAAACTTGGATTTACAGCACGGGGCGAATCATCGATCGCTCTTCATTACTGTAGGATTACGGTAAGAACTCCCAGCATATGGAACCATTGTGAAGTGACCACCTAACAAATTTTTTTAAAATTTGAATATACTAGGATTTTCGCGCATACTGATTCCACCTAACAACTTTTTAAGAGTGCTTTCAGCTTTTTTGACGGTGTAATTACATTTCTGACAAATGCTGGAAATTGAGTTATTACGATTTACCAGAGATAACTCAGAAAAGAAGCATCACAGTAAAATTGGAATTTCATTCTCGAAATCAGCGGCTCCCATTACAGTAGTACAACAGTTTTTGGCTTGTTTGGTTTTGTTCTGAGGCAGAATATAGCCTCCAATGGCCTAAAATCCTTGTCGGAGTTCGTACCGTAATCCTACAGAATGAAGAACGATAGATAATTCGCTCTATACTGTAAATGTAAGTTTAACCTCGCTCTACAAAATGGTACCCAAAGCTTCTCGAAACACTCCATTACAAAAGAGCTATTTACAATTAAACAGTAGGTACATTTTTTGGGACACCCTGTACAGGGCTCCTAAATTGCAGAGTCGTTTGCACCAGCGGTCGCGCGACCGCGTCGCGCCCGTGCATTTTGCCGGCGCCGCCGCCATCGATCGAGGCGGCGCCATTGATGCCCGGGCGCGATGCGGTCGCGCGACCGCTGGTGCAAACGACTCTGCAGTTTAGGAGCCCTGTATATAATTAGAGTTGAAATATAATATAACTTGATAAGAGACTTTTAGTCTAATATTCCTTTCTCTATTAGAAAATAAAAGGAGGATGGAACTGCGGGGTTGGCAGCTGGAAGGCGACCACTCGCACCCGTGACGCAGTCTGCGTCTCTCTAATCACTTAGGCTGCGTTCATACTGATCCAAGTTCGGGAACAGTTCCAGCACACCGCCCGAACTGAGCGCTGTGCTGGAACTGTACCGTACTTCGGGATCAGTATGAACGCAGCCTTAGCATTGATTAGGCCCCGAAGCCCCGCTTATCGAGACGCTACTCTTGTGAAGTCAAAGGGCAGGTGCCACTCATTCGCATGCATTCGCGCCTTTGCGTGCCTTTGATGCCTTTTGCGTGCCTTTTTCAATGCGATTGTTGCTCTTTCGCATAGCATCCAAAGCAGCAAATGAGGTTGTGGTGGTGCCTAAGGAAAGAATCTCACGAACGGCTTATTTAGGCACTACAAAGCGTGGAACTTAACTTACACAGTAAGATACGGGGCCAAGCAACGTAAATATCTGCACATTCTCTTGTACTCGTGTATCATGGACAGTTCACTCACCTATGAAATTTTGTAAATATCTTGGGATATTGCTTCAAAATTGTCTTCTCGACAAAATTAGTCAGTCCAATCCATTTAAATTGAACTGTTACAACTTTATAGCAACACATAATCTAAATTGGCATGTATGAACACAAAACAAAGCTATTATAGTGACCTACAGGAGTCGTAGAGTATACCCATTCCGGTTTGAGCTGTCCCCTCCCTGTTCTCTCCGATAAGAAAAGTTTTGGATCTAAATCGGCGCAATAGTCGTATTTTCCTATAGTGACGTCATCGCATATGTCAAGATACATTATATCTCTTTTGAGTGGAGCATTTAGTGGCTGAAATTATACACATCAGCAAATAACTAATCATTACTACAATATTCACGTTTTCCGAACATCCATTGTCAGGAAGATGTAGTGACTCGATTACCAAAGTGAAGTTTTCTCCCATATAGCCGGGATTCTAGAATGAAAGTGGAAATTACTATTTTTTCATGAAAATGGTACTTACAGTTATGACTGTTTTGCAATATGGATAGGCATTCCAACTCTCTTCATGAACTTCGAAAGCTTCATCAGGCAATATCTGCAATTGTCAAAAGAGCAGCGTAAAATCACGCGCAGGGGGACAGGCAACAGAGATTTCAAACAATTTTGTTTGCTTAATTTTCTAATATGACCAACAGACTAGCATAAGTCTTAGTTAGCTGATACTGATGTTCTTTCACCAAATTACTTACCTTTTGTAATACCCATGGTGATTTTGACTTTAGTCGGTAGATTTTGAATGTGTAGGTTCCCGACAGCGTCTTTCCCGGCAAAATGGTTGAGTCATCGAAGAAATCAATTTGTTTCACAAACTGAAAAAGAGACTTGGTCCTATAATGACAATAGTTGAAAAAGTTGATGCCTTGGAGCAACCTAGTGTAAAGTTATATACACGTACACTTCGATCCTGAGCGTTGATTTTGACTAGAATTGTACAAGTCATGAGTCTTTTCTTCAGACACTCAGCGAACTGTACGCCAAGCCTATGCCTCACTGGGATTGCAGTGCAAAGTTGAAGTAAGACCTTGGGAAGGCGGACATCGCAAGAAAAACGACGGACAAATTTTCGCACTTTGCAGTGTGTACTTCAAAAGCGGATGCGATTTTGCGTGACCGCTTGTCAACTGCTTATTTCCTCGAAAAAGTAGCGATTCTTCTGCGAAAAATGAGCGAGAAGGGGTCAAACGGCTTTGCGTTATGAAATTCGAGTTTACCACATAACGCCAAAATTTATTGATTTGTCACTTTTCTCAAAAATCATGACTTTGCACAGAGGCGTCAAACAGGTACAAACTCTTTTCTTTTGCAAAGAGAAGCTCATAAAACTATGTACAACGATTTCAGATTTTTATGCAGCATCCCAGATTTTTGGCGATCTAACTCAAAATGTTCGAGGTTTAAAGGCACCGTCCACCCAAAGTGGAGGATGGCGAGATTATGATGGCATACTAGTGTGGGCCCCCACACTAGGCAAACCTCCAAGCTGCGCCGCAAAACACTGCTTCTGAAGCGAGAAATTCGCTCCGGAAGTAGCAAAGTAGGCGGACCATGGTCGTCCCGCCCACTTGCATGCTTTATCTCGCCTGCGCTTGCTGCAGAGGGTTCTCGAAACAGGGATTTTTGGGTATTTCGCGGATTTTCGACTCCATATTCGAAATCAGGGCCTTCAGAAGGCCTGGAATCGACAAAAACATGGAAGTCGAGAATTTGGGTGGACGGTGCCTTTAAAGGCAGCGTCCGGGCAAAATTTGGCCTCTCATGTTTTTGTGTTCTAGTTGTTCTGTTCTTGTTTCTGTGCCTTTCCGTGGCCCTGATTACAGTTACAAAGTTCAAATTGTACAAAACCCCCAAAAAACCCAATTCCTGGGGATCCTATTTTGAGGGCGCGGACGAGTTTCGGATTGTTTATCCCTCCGGCTCGCCACCAAGGAGGAGCTGCAACTGCATGGGTGCAGTTGCAATCCATGATCGATCGATGCGTGAGAATACGCCCTCAGTGGGAGGTTTGTGATACGAGGGGCGGTTTTGATACATATCACAGGCTCGTATCTCCTTTTAGAGACCACGTCAAAAGATCAGACCAACGCAGATCGAATACTCATGGGCCCCGCTTTACAACTATTTGCTAGTCGGGGTGGGTGGATCTTGCCCGGACGCTGACTTTAAGTAGTCGTTTTCCATTGTTATCTCTGCAGTGAGTGTATGGTAGAAGCTCACCGAGGTACTCGTTTAAAGAGAGAGACTTTTCTTCCTTGCAAAATTAGAAGGAAGCAAATCTCGTGTCCGCGAAAAGTTACAAAATTTCAAAAACGAAACGGCAGAACTTTCGCGACAACCTAATATATTCAGACAAGGCCTATTCATAATCCGATGACTGCCATTTCGGACCGGAGCATATCTCGCAATATTGAGTTTGCGTAGGATTTTCTGGTTATTAATGGGTCCTGTGATCTGAAGTGCTGATCTTTTGGGAAGCATTCCAAGAAGTGAATATAAAAGTTTATTCAATTTGCCCAAAATGTCCCATCGTAAGCTAGCAAAATCAGAAACTTCAGAAAACGTACAACCCACCGGTGGGTCATATTGTCGTGAATGTGTTGAAGAGGTCAAGAACTACTGGATTTGTAGGGCTAAAACTAGCCAGTGCTTTCATATACGGGCCCGATTGCCAGGAAGATGCATGCTTACACTAATGTGTGTATTTTTGCAATCATTTGGTTTAAAAAGAGCGCGTTGAGTGCGTCGTGCGCTATTGTCACAAGTAGTTTTCTTATCGCCTTTCTTGAACTATTTTTCATGATAATAAAAAACCTTCCTAGTAGACACTGGCGGTACTTTTAGCAACAAAAGTGCCACAGGATTTTGATTTACACACGTTTCAGACCGCGAAATCTTCCGGCAAAATGTCGTGCTACACCAATTGTAGCACGAAGACGTTGGGGACCGACTTTTTTTTGTTGCATGATTTCGAGCTAAGCTCATGAATAAGTTGCGCCAGGTGTTGTGTTTCGTACGCCACATTTGCATTAGAAGCGGAAACCATATAATCACTTCGAAATCCGTGCCCATAAACTTCAAAGTGGTGGATTTCTCTCAGACTTGATACATGAGGTTCCCTGACAAGCTGGTGATCATGCCGGGGGGGGGGGGGGGACTTTTCATACAATCGGGGACTTCGCACCTAGCCTTCGCACCTACCTCACACCTACATCGCACCTCTCCATCCACGTAATGAGTAAGATTCTCCACTACGCCTAGGTGAGGGGAGGGGGAAGGGAGACTTTTCATATGAACGCTCCCCGATCACTTTGACCTTCTAGCTATGCTAGGGTGCTGGTCAATGGACTAAAATGAGACGTTTATTATCAAAAATGCGTAAACTAAAGAATATCTTGATTTTATCTGTTGTGTAAAGCTTATCGGGTTGAAATAGCGCATCATAGTAAATATCGTCAGGCCACAGCGAATTCATTTTCGCAAACAACTGGCACAATTGTGGTAATGAATAGTTCGCTTTATCGAGTCGCACGCCCTCCAATGGGTGTAGATATGTGAAGAGGCGCGATTCCTATTGCCAGATGGGCAGCATATAGCACATATTTAGTGTTTTATGAAGTTTTAGAATTACTTGAAATTTCGAAAGAAATATATGGGAATTTAGGGATTGTTCAATCTCATCATCTTGAAATCGATTTCAAACAAAATTGTTAAAGGTCAAAAACACATAAAAATGCAGTTAACAGCAATTTTGTAAATATGTTTCTGTCAGTTTTCTAGCAAAAGTCGTCAAACTTATCAAGTGGTTACTTCAAACAGCTAGTAAGCCAATGAACTTTGTCCGGCACTTTTTGAATTTTTCCATAGCATGAAACTGGAGTTTTAAGTTGATGACACCCGGAAAAATCGCGCGTCTTGACCGTCTTCCCCCTCCAATATCCCCTGTGGGAAGAGTAACACTTCCAGGTCATGCTGAAAGGTCGGAGAGGCATGTGACAATACTCAAATCAGTTCAAAACGTCTGCAAAAGAGACCGAATTATGTCGATTTGAACATTAAAAAATTCGTAAGTGGAATGATCATAGTGTTATTTTTCGCAGCAAAACACTTTTGAAATCCATACAGTAATCAAGTTTTCCAAATTTATCCAAATTCGCAGTACTGCAAAAGCTAATCTAGATGTTTTTCTTGGAATGGAGCCAGCAGACCAAAACTTGGCATGGTGCCAGTTTTTACTGGATCTTTGCCAAAAGATGATGTGGAGGAATTCGTATGAAAAGTCCTCCTCCCCCCCCCTCTCTCTACAGTATACTAGACGCGGAGGTGCGAGACTTGACACTTAGCCATAGGTGTTCACACCTCGCACCTCGGAATTGTACATCGTATGAAAAGTCACTCACCCGATCATGCCACACTTATCCCACATGAAAACGCCTTTCTATGTGGCTTTCTCAAAATTTCATATGGAAAACTTTCAGCATCTTTATCATGGTTATGCCCTCGATGCCTAGAAGAGTTTGTGCGCGTTGAGGGGTTGGACTACTATAGCTTTGACCACATTTGAGGTTTTGATCCAATCCGGTAGACCATATACACTGTAATGAAAATTCCTTGAGAATGCAATTTAGCCAGCAAAAAACTGAACCGCAATTCTGTCGCACGTGGCATTCGCAACGCCATATCGATTTGCAATCGTTTACTGTTTATTACTGCTTGGTCCGAAAAAGGTAAGATAGCGAAGGACCAGAAAGGCATGATGGACAGTGGAATTGTGCCTATAGGATGGCATTCTTATATGGGAAATAAACCGATCGTAGAAAGCAGAGAACTGTTGCAAACTCAATGATGCACCATGTGCAGCACAGGTCCGGAGGGCGTGCAGGAGTTCCTAGCACCTTTCCTCGCACCAAGTTCCCAGCATTCGCACACGAAAGGGTTCCAGCACCTCCGCGCTTCAAAGGTCAGGCCACTCCCATTGCTCCACCCATTTACTGGTCCCATTGTAAGGTGTGCAAGCAGCGAGAGCACAGACTCAATATTGAAGTAATAAGGGAAGAAAAATGGAGAAAAACGAAGAACATAGTTTTCATTTCTCAATTGAAACTTCTGCTACACCATCCTTTCAAAAATGAGCATATGATTTATGTCATTTGATTGAAGTAATTCAAACAGGAGTTGAAAACTGAGTGACCAGAATTAGCGTAGAACCCTATTACCTAACATTAGAATTATCTAATTTGAAAGAAGTACATAAAATTTCCGAATAAGCAGTCAACGCTTTTTCCGGTAGTTAGGGTAATGCACATATATACTTTCCTACTTTCGTTTGCCATCATGTATGTATTTCAATGAGTTTTTCATTCCAGTTACTTCAATGATCAGTAAGATTTTAATTATCAGAAACCAATTTTTGAGTGTAGTATTTCCATGTGCTAGAATACCAAACTTCGGTTACATGTGTGAAGAGCTGGCTAGGATTTCCGAATACGACACGATATTTGCAAGATATTTTAATTTGCTATAATTCTTAGATGGACTTTAATACTTGCGTGTAATTGACTAACTTCTCTGATCTATACTGTGATTGGAATAGTCATAACTTCTGCTTGATTTATATCAATACGATATGTTTCACAAACCTACTCAAGCGCGAGCACTTACAAAATTTTGAGGGAGCGTCATTTTATTCGAAAACGTGTGTAAAAGGTAGCTCGAAATGCTGGAAATTCAGCTGCACGTCATGTACGAATCCTAAGCGCTTAACCTAAAGAACTTTTTTTTTCTCGATTGCTATCATCTTCGAAAACATTAAACGTCTTATACTGCGTGTACACATTCATAATGAGGGCAGCTGGAGGGAGGACTGATGGGCGGAGCCGCCCTTTGCCCCCGAGAAGGTGTGATGTCCTTTAAAGGCAGCGTACACCCAAAATTTGAGTTACCGAATTTCCAAGATCTTTCTACACCGTGTATATACTAGGCCCAGAAGAAGACCAACTGCGTTGGTCCGGTCTCCCAGTGTTGCTTCTGAGCGGAGAAAACCCCCCTCAATTTTCTTTCATGCCGCCCCTTTTCTTTCGCTCCGCCTCCTCCGGACGAATCCATAACAGCGTAAGCTGCAATTGCAATTGCAGTTGCTGTTGCAACATCTGTTGCATTTGTTTTGGGTGTACGCCGCCTTTAAGGGATTTCTGGAGGTGCCAAGTACCCCTGCGAGAAAAAGCGGCTGGGCTTTGGGAACTCCTGCCACGCCGCCCACAGGTCCGATACCTTAGAAATTCACCCTTGAATGGAAGAACTGGTGATAAGAATCTGACTCAATGGAACTTTCCACAACTCGTCTCTTCCAAAAAACCTCATCATTATCAAGTTAGATGAGCTCATCCTTCTTTCGTGCGTTGCCATTTAACTCAAGATAGTTGTGGATTTTCTACTAACGAACCTCTGCTCCTTCTCCGCCACCTGTTTCATTCTTACAAGCTTCTGCTACCGAGTAGAGCTGCCCTTTTCGAAATTCATCAACGTCCAATGGCAGTGGAATTCGAAACTCCTGAAAGGCCATATGTCTGTCTACCATGCAAGAAGGAGTTAAAAATACCTTAACAAGCATTGGTTGCCGGGCGCTCCTATAGATTAAGCTCTTTCCTTATCGAGGGACCCTCCCAAAATGATCTGAAACACCTTCACTACATGATCGAATTCGTCAAAAAGACAAACAATGGCGAAAAACAACGGGAAATGAATCTGGATGCAATAGGGATAAATATGAATGTAGCTGATTGTGAGTGAGAAATTGAACCGACCGGCGAGGATGCTGCTATAGAATGCTGCAACTTCTTTCTTTCAAGTAAAATTTCGCATGCAACATGATAATGGGTGTGAATCGTCTTCATTTCTAAACTCGAACAACTCTGCGGGCAGTGTGACAAAGGTAATGCCATTGTTTTATGCTTGGATCAAGAAGTGATTTAAGATTCGACTTTGTCTAATCAACTCCTTTACAAGCAATGTATGCGTCATTTGATGGAACGTTTTCGAAACCGTACAAAACATTTGTGCATCTCCAGTGTGCCTTTTGATTTTATGTGGTTGAAGCAGCATAGTAGCTCCGCTTTGAAGAATCGGCGCTCAGACTTGATTGTTAGGACATTGTTAGATAATTTTGCAACGCAGCCCGTTCGCTGCCTTTAAAGGCAGTGTCCCGGCAGATTTTGCATTTCCATCTTTTTGCATGTTTTGGGCCTTTTCTACCTGTAGACCCCGAATATGAGCTTTAAAATGAATGAAAAGACCTTTTTCGTGGAGTTTGCCCAATTTCCAAAAGTCGGCTTGGACGAGAATTTCAATGGAAAGTTGGGAGGCCCTGGCACGAATACCCTGGTGCCTATAATTTTTGCTTTGAATAGCATGCAAAATGTGAGAGAGCGGTCGTAGGGTCCCGCGCCGAACGGTAAGCGAAGACGTCTGAGCGCGCGCCGATTGGGGTTGCGCGCGCCAGTTCAAGGGCTACTTTCTCGGCCCATAGGGAACATCAACCAGCCGGACTGCGCCCTGGAGGTCGGTGGGATGACCAGGAACCCCACCACAGCAATTTCCCCCAGGGCGCGAATCTGCCGGGACACTGCCTTTAAGGCTCTGTCAAAGGACCAAGGTATTCTGATGCATTGAAGGCAAGCAACAACTGAGTCAGTGGCTAGTTTGTCTTAAGAATCTTTTACCTTTTCCCTAAATAAAGTTTTTTTCGCTCAATCAGATATAGCAAACAACAGTTCCATATACAACTGTAAATCGCTTTCTATTCGAAATTTTCTTCATATGGTGGCTCCAATGTCAACACCAAGCACTTTACTTTTTTCAAGAAGCACTTTTGACCAGAGTGAAGTAACCAAATTATTTTGCCGTTTTTTTCTGTGGGGCACAAAGGTCTTTCTGAGTTGAGGACAGCAAACTCGGGTTCTTTTCTGAGGACGACTTCTAAATTCTTCAGAAGCGAAAAGTTGTGGATGATTGGAAACAGAAGGGACAGAACTAAGTATAACTAAGAATTTAGTAAGCTAATGGGGATGCTCTTGAAAGTTTTGGCAGAGAAGATATTCTGTTGAGATGAGTCAATGTTACCGTGAAGTTTTGTGAAGAGATTAATTGTTCGCTGCATCAAAACATGATTAGTGCTCTCTGCTCTCACTCTCAAAAGATTTGTAAAAGGTCGTTTTGAAATTGCGAAGAGATGCTATTTGCACTAGAATGCAAATTTTGCGACTTCTATGCCCGTGGTTCCAGAGTCACCAAGTGTAAGTTAACAAAAGAGTCAGCGAAAAATTTTTAGAATCAGTTCAGAGCCCTAAGGTGATGAGGTAGATAGGCGAACATAATGCTTGATCGTACCAGGGCTTCAGTAGGTATAGAATACAAACTAGGTTGGAAACAATATAGCTAAATATTCGAAAAGCTCTACTCGACACTGTGTCAACCAAGATTGAGATATTTGAAAGCAGATTGCAATAATCTTACGAACATAATCATAAAGCAAAACTACTATGGAAACCTAATAAGCTGCTCAAAAACTAATCTTGATGCTGTCTTTGCGATTAGCATTTGATTGTGATTGCTTTTGTCAAAAGAATTAAGGCAGTTTGTTTCCAGGACTACAATGCAACGAAGCAGTGGAGAACAAATAATGCTTCTACAAACAAAAGAAGGTATCTTCCCAATTCCAAAGGATCTGTTGAAGCCAGGCATAACAGTAAGAAAATTGCGGTACTACGACTGAAAGCATAGCTATATAATCTGTAAGGTAGAACAAGATAGTTCTGTTACAAAAAAAGTCCAACGGTTAACGATAGTTGGAGAAAACGCGAAAGCAGAAATTTTTTTTTTACCTAAGCGCAAGAATCATGAACATTGCAAAGATATATCAAGAATCATAAGAATTTATTCATTCATGGAAAAAAAATAAACACAATTTCGTGGTTATCTGGACTCAATGATGATTACACAAAGCTTCATCGAATAAAATCGAAGGAAATCAAAGGAAATGATTGAAGTGAAAAATAAATGTTGCGTCTGCATAAAAAATCGAATAGAGGGAAGGTGGGAAGGGATGAGAGTTGCACTGCAAAAAGTAAAGCGACTCAAACGCTCTAAAAATAGCTGCAGAAGTTGAAGCTAGTAGTTTCTACAATATGAACAGCAATCGTATGAAGCAAGTGGGGTTTGCAAAAAAACTCTTCCACTTTTGATTAGGTTTTGGGAAGAGCCTAGGAAGTTCTACTCCCTAGGGAAGGCTGATTACCCTAGGCAAGCATCATCGTACATATCCAGCATGCAATTTAATGGGTATTTATGATAACAAGTACGCCGAGGGATTTTTTTGACAAGCTAGAATGTTTGCCAAATCTTTTTCTGCGCGGGAAAAACAGAACACTCAATTATTTCAATTGAGGCTTACACCTACGCTTCGACTGCAATAGTACAATCGGCTAAAAGCGTAGTGACTACCATCTGAACGAAAATATTCACAAGAAAAATTAATAGCGAAGTAGTTTTTAAGCTATAGGCACCAATCAGAGAAGAGAGGAGACAAAATGAGGGTAAATCAAATTTTATGTGTGATAATTTTCAAAAACTAAGATTTCATTTGCACCATTTCCAAAAAATTGTAAGTATAGTCTGATTAATTTTTGCAAGGAACTAATTTTATCAAAAAGAATATGTGATGTAATTTCTTAGACAGCTTTGCCGCACTCTACAATTTTTTTAAACAGAGATAAAAGTAGTGGATTGAATTCTGAGTCTCGATGATTTCAAGCGGTCCCTCAAAAATCTGAAAGGTGCTCAGAAAACCAAAATGGTTACTAAAATAGCTTTTCTGTTCTCTCTAACTGGGCAGAATGTACTAATGGAGCTTGCCTGTGAGAATTTATGATATCTAATAAGAGATAGAGAAGTTACTTTTCCGTTTTTGTAGTATTCGCTCGAGATAACTTTCATAGAAAAACTCGATCAGCACAAACTTTGCACACTCAGAAAAGCCGGCCATTTTCTTTCATTTGATGGCAGTTGAAAATGATGTCTTAGCAAAAAGCTTTACCTTTATATCCACGGTGATTATTCAAATGTATAGTCCGAAATAAGTCGTCGCTTGAGAGGAGGTACTCTTACTTCGGCTCATAAGAGCCAAGCTTGAGAATCAATACCCAAAAAACATCTAGCTATCGTCTTTTATCCTTTAGTACTGCGTCCCCTCTCGGTTCTTCATGTGATTATAGAGACATTTTCAGCTGATTCAATAAATGGCGTCCATAACGTAGATGTAGAGGAAATTTGCGAGGAAATTTTGCATCGAATTAACGAACAAGCAACTGCATGCTTTTTCTTCTACAAGTTGTTACATAGCGTAGAAAACAGTCTAGATTGACAATGCCAACCATATAATAAACTGGCGGTACAGCGTACCCGGCTTGTAAGGGAATTAGTCAGCCAATGCTTAGACGCAAAAACAAATTGCTTTAGAGGTTTTTTACAGTTGTCCCAGCGTGGTGCTGGAACGTCGATCGATCATATGTGGCCCACGTGGGTTCCGGCAGGCTGCTAGCACGGCGTTGGAACGGCGCTGGCACAGCGCTGATGAACCGTGGCACGACAATTCTGGAAGCAGTCCTAGCGTCAAAACCGGTGGCGGTCCTATTTTTGTTCAGAGAGGGTACGGACAAAAAATTCCGGGAGAAAAAGAATTTGCGAGCCCACAACCCCGAAATTTCATAAGAAAAAGGTTTGATGGCTGCCAAGCTCCAAAGTTTTTTTTACAGAGGTGGTATAAACAAGTCACTTGCACAGTTTCATAGTTTACGTAATTAAATTTCAAAAATTTTGCGCACCCCCCCCCCCCCCCCACCAACCCCTTTCTTTTCCCCCCTGGGGCTATCATATATCAAAGATGCACATAACTTGATTTGACACCAGACAAGATAGATTGAAAAAAGGTTGACTAAAAACCTTGTGTAACTCATCGTAAGCCATACTTTTCTCCTTCCTTATTTCCTAATTATATGGTACAACATCGCAAAAACTGCATAGTTGCCTTCTTTTCCCTTCTTTTTCCTTCTCCTTCCTTCGTAAAGGGAAATCGCGTGAAGTATGCCCGGTCCTTGAGATTTGATAATTATTAGAAGGCAAGAATATAGTATTTGAAACTGAAAGCAAAGATTCAGAATCACGGAAGGCTTCTAAGTGCGTACAGCAGACGCCAGCACTTTTTTACTAATAATAAAACTGGGAAAGTTTGCATTCCTAAGCAGAGGAGAAGAAAATCACGTGGAAAATCACTCCAGGCTTCTCAAGTCTGAAAGACCGAGTGAGAACAAAAAGTGAGAATTCACTGAATACATAAGCTTGTAAGGACAACGTTTTTTGAGAGTAGGATTTTCAGACGTATTAGAACGCATGACGGAACTTCTTGTGTAGGATAGCCTTGAGAAACCCAGCGTAATTTTGAGAAAGGAGAAGTTACCTTGCCTTCAAAAATTAATCGCAATTTGCGACTTTTTACTAGGTTCGGGTGCGAAAGCAAAACTTTTCTGGAAAGCATGACATATTGATGCCAATTGGAACGCATGGACAACTGGGCGTAAACAAGATGTGGCTATTATTTTCTTTCGAGTTAGCGGTAAAAATTAGAGTCGA